TTTAGCACTTGAACTTTGATGGACTTGGGCGAGCCTAAGATATTGTTGACCAAAAATTGTCATCTTTCAAACAGATTGTGTTTAAAGCATAATAAACCATATTTTTGCTATTACCAATCAAACTTCTAAAAAAGCGGATTTTCTTACCAAAGTTGGGAAATAAAATCCCTTTACTTGAATGCTTCATCGGCGGTGTTGTTGGGCTTTTGTATCCAACGCCATTTTCATATTTTTTCGAATAAATATAAATTTGTACTTTATGATATCGGATTTAGCCTTTCAACGAAACGTGTGTGCTTTTTTTCTGCCCGTGAGTGTAAATATCACATCTAGAGCTTTCTCTCGTTAGGTGACTTGGTATAGTGAAGTTTCAAAAAAAAAAACATATTTTCAAAACTTACAAACATTCATTCAGTTTTGGGCTTTGTTGTATTCAGATACTAATGTGCAGTAGGTTTTACGACAAATACTGTTGTGGTACACTCTAACCACTGCATCCCTGCCTAATGAGGACTTTTTAGACATTTCCGCACGGGGGGGATAAAAAAAAAACCCATATATACATATTTAGAAGTTAGAGGGTTGAATATTCCACAAAAATTCTACCCGCAGGATTTTACATAGAACTGCTGTATATGTATATCCGATGTCCAAAAAGTGAGTAGATATCACTTGGATTTCTTCTATACCAACATACACATATCGTCGTTTAAAGTACAAAACCGCGTATCGTCATTCTGCAAAACCGCGTAACTGACATTGGCAGCCAAAAGTTGGATTTGCTCACACAAGCTCTTGGCTCAATCCTTATCCATTCGTCCTGAAATATACTAGCCAGAAGTGCGATTTCTTTATAAAAAAGAGAACCATTTTGAAATATGGGTGTTTTTACACTATAGAAAATGATTTCTAAAACTTCACATACGCGGTTCTGCATTTTGCTGATACGCGGTTTTGCACTTTAAACGACGATATGTACCTACATATTTTTTACATCCGCTCTACTCGAACTCGTGTTCGTAACCTTGCTATTTTGGAAAAAGTCAAGTCGATATACGATGAGTCAGGCAAAGGCGATAATACATCTTAAGTGATTATGACAATATGCGCACTTGGCTATTCATAAGTGGACTGATTATTCTGGGCCCGAATTAGGAAATTTAACATAGCATAATCAGTAATTAAAGCATAAGTGTAGAGTTCTTATCTTGACGATTAAATATGCATGTATTATATTTCCCTGATTATTAGATATACAAAACGTACCTTCCCAATAAACCTTTGGGTTGGAGGTCAAGCGTACCAAAACCCATTCTCAAAAAAAAGCAAATTTTTGAAAAAAAAGGAATTTGAGTTGCCCACTTGAGAAAAGCTGGATATACCTTAATTTGAATTAAAACTTTATTCAACGTTTAATCAAATGTTGGAGAAAAATTTTGTACACGCACTTGAGAATCAAGAATTTGTCAAAGTTGAGAAAAAAATTGGCGAAGGATTTGCTTTGTGCATATTAAGTTATACGAATATAACAACGATATTACCTAAGTCACATAGTCACATGAACTTCGATTTGGTATGTAGACATATGTATATACATATTGGAGGTGTTTAGAGTAAAGTATATAAAAATGAGTTTGTAAAAGGGGGATAAATATGTATTCGTCTATTATATCACTTGGATATTTAAAAGTGTGTTTTTTTTTAACCTTACAGTCTTTAAACCATTTTGAAATTAAATCGTTTTCTTTTGATCCCGTGATGCTGTTAAACGAAAAATGTTCATCCGTTATGAATAAAACTTTTTCCGAAATAAACATTCTACCGGAAAAGTGCAGCTTTACTAAAACAGCTAAGCGATTGGACAGCTAAACGGAATGTACCGTAGCAGACTTATTTTAATTTGAAGATTCTATCGTTGCCTTCATCCACCTAATTTTAATAATGAAACAAGATTTGTAGTACAGAAAATTATGACAAATATATAGTAGTTGGAGCACGATAAAGCTAAACGTATGGTTCATAGGGATGCCTTAGAAAAAAAAAATAGTTTGTCTCCTTTAATTTATGCTGAACTGAATATTTGACTACTGTTTTATATTTTCGTTTGTTTACCCCGAACGACGTCGGGTGCTCTGCTAGTTAATTATAATAAGAAACAATCATGATTAGTTACCAGGTACGGAAAATAATCAATATTTTTTAAACAGTCGTCAAAAAAATCAACCAGCTGTAATTGTCGTAAAGCAATTTTAACTCTACTCACGTATTTGGGTTCGTACGTTGTACTAAAATTTTCAATGATTTTTATTTTTCGAGTTTAACCAATAAAGACTAAAAATAATAATTAATATTTGAAATTTATTTTTTCACTCAAAGATTGAAATGATTTTTACTTGATTTTTATTTTTTCGATCAAAAAATAATGATTCTTTTATGATTTTTATTTTTTCGCTTAAATATAATTATTATTTTAGAATATTCATTTAACATGTATAAATATACGCCAATCGGTATTGTAGGTTCATCAAAAGCCAAAGCAACTGAGGATTTCCGAAGAATCGATCATGCTATTAACAGTTTTATAAAGAAAACTCAGCTTGTCATCTACAATCACACCAAGGTCTCTTATTGTCTTAAAAGTTTGTACAGTCTGGCCGTTCAGCACGTATATGACTGCACATTTATTAATATTTAGAGAGAGCTTTTTTAATACACATCAGCTCTCAAATTCGCGTATATCCTGCTGAAGTTCAATAACGTCCTGTTCACCGGCTATTTTTCGAAAAATCTTCAGATCATCTGCGTAGAGCAAATACTCCCATCTGAACCTTTTGCCCTCGTACTCCGCTGGAAAATTGAGTTTTATCTTTTCACTTAAGAATAATGATGATTAAAAAACTCATAAGCTATACCAGCTTGATTTCCGATGTATTCTTTTTAGAAATAGCTACACCCTAATAAGAGGGGTAAGTCCCAAAGTTTGCAGGCGGGGATGGAAAATAATCATAATTTTTTATATTTTAACCAAAAAAATAAACTAGTTGTAATCGACGTAAAACAATTTTAACTATACTCACGTATATGTGTTCGTGCGTCCTACTGTAATTTACAATGATTTTAATTTTTCGAGTAAAACAAATAAAGATTAAAAATAATAATTAATGTCAAAGTCTTATTTTTTCGCTCAAAGGGAATTATTATCACTTGATTTTTATTTTTTCGATCAACGATAATAATTATTACATTTTTTAGTTTTTAATTAAGAATAATGATCACTCAAAAAACTCAAAAGCTACATCAGCCTGATTTTTGGCGTATTCTTTTCAGAGGCAGCGACACCCTAATAAAAGGAATACGTCCCAAAATTTTCTGGTCAAAACTTCAGTTGCTTACGTCTGTATGGCCATTTGAATTTTATGAATAGTCATTCTATTTAAGTGAAAAAATAAAACTCTATAATAATTATTATCTCTGAGCGAAAAAATAAAAATAAAAAATAATTATTGCCGATGAGCGAAAAAAACTTAATAATAATAATTTTTTTTATTTTATTTAATTGGAAAAATAAAATTCAATAATAATTATTATCTCTGACCGAAAAAATGAGGAAAAAATAATCATTATTTGTGATCGAAAAAAATAAAATCAAATAATAATTATTTCCGTTGAGCGAAAAAATAAAACTCGGCGAAAAAAATAAAAATCATTAAATAATTGCAAGTCAAAATTTCAGTTGGGTGCGTCTGTATGACCTTTTAAATTTTATAAATAACAGAGCCAACAAAACTGGAAATTTTTTTTGGCGTGGCAAATGTTAAAGCCGTTTTTGGTAGATTTTTTGTGCTGATTAAGAATCCGTCAGCACAAAGTTTCTATCTGATTTCCAGATTTTGAGAAAAATGAGGTCAAATTGTCAAAAAAAACCCGATTTTTGCAATATATGAGAGGGTCTAGAAAAGAAACCAATGGTAAGACAACCTTCCATTAGGCTTAGATTAAAGTCAGAACTCTCGACTACTATCCCTGAAAATACCATTCCTGCACCTTGATCTGATGGTCACTTACAGTCATTTAATAAAACAAAAAGATATAAAACCTTCCACTTAGGCTTTAATTAAGGATGGAACTTTCGATGACCAGCCCTGCAACTTGAACAGGAAAAACAGGTTTTGGAAAAAATATTTTGTTTTCAGTAGCACAATTTTCCAGTATTTTTTATTGTTTAATAAATGATTATTGGGTATTATCTTTTCAAGGTACAGGGATGGTATTATAAGGAATGGTGGTCGAGAGTTCTGGCTTTAATTTAAGCCGAAGACGGTTGTGTCACATTTTGCTTCTTTGCTAGGGATTCGCAAATATTGCAAAAAACGTAATTTTTTGACACNCTATCTTTTCAAGGTACAGGGATGGTATTATAAGGAATGGTGGTCGAGAGTTCTGGCTTTAATTTAAGCCGAAGACGGTTGTGTCACATTTTGTTTCTTTGCTAGGGATTCGCAAATATTGCAAAAAACGTAATTTTTTGACACTCTGACATCGTTTTTCTCAAAATCTGGGGCTGACGGAAACTCTGTACTTACGGATTTTTACTCAGGGTGTTGTGGAATAAGGCTAAATAATAATGATTATCTCGGAGCGAAAAAATATAAATAACAAAAAATCATTATTTCTGCCCGAAAAAATAAAAATCAAATAATAATTAATTCAGTTGAGCGAAAAAATATAATATTTATTATTATTTCTTAGCGAAAAATTAAAAATTAAAAAAATCACTATTTTAGTCATAATGAATAACGTCCCTGTTATTAGCCGTTAAAAAATATTTGGAAGTAATCATAAATAATTAATAAAATAAAAAAAACTCATCAAAAAGATATGTGCAACTCGTTTCTACAATTATTTCCGCTTTTTAATTCTGTTTAATTATTTCGGATTTTTAATTTAATTAATCAATATTATTTTTGATTTTTCTTGAAATTAATTTTTAAATTTCGTAGCAGTTGGTATTTCACTCGAAATGGCTACACGAAACGAAAGCCACAGCGTCATCTACCGACATTACCTGACTGTTTGCTGCCAGCTGATAGCCACTACAAAAACAATGCCAAAAGCAACTGGCAACGTCAAAAGATGGACGCTGAGAAGGAGGAAGCCAGGAATTTGGTAATTATATTGCACGGGAAATACTTTAATGAACTTATAGAAAATATCAAAAAATTCATCAAGTTGCATTTATTATGTTGTATTAATTTGTTTTTTTTTTGCATTTGTAGCAGGTGGAGTTCGAGTGGGTTCTGCGCGAAGAGGTGCATTCGATATTAAAACAATTGAGGAAAATATTAGTGGAGTGTGCTCATCTCTTCCCCGTTCCACTGTATGCCAATGAGGGTAAAAAGACTGAAAAGTATATTATGACTGTGGCACAGGAAAAACTTCGTGCTATTGTCACGTTAACTGGAGATAGCATCACACATGCGGTAAATAAGAAAAATGTAGAAAATTGTGTACTTTCATAGGTATCATTGAATGCATGTTTTGTAGGACATAAGCTTTAAGCTGGCACGCCCACCACATCACCAACAGAAAACGTGCATTAACCAAGACTCACCATGGAAGCTGCAGCAGGTACAGGATGCAGCAAACCACCTCCAACAGGCAATTAATCACATCGATGATGTAGATGCCACCTATCATTTTAAGTGAATGAGCGAGAAGTTGCTACAATTATTTCTGAATTAATTCCTGTATGCTATTTTGTAGAACGTCTGACGAAGTAATGAATGTTGTTGGGAACATACTAGAGGCGCTTCAACGCGCACGAACAAGTTTGGTTATACCGAAAAAGAAACCAATAGCTGATTTGATTAAAAGTCGCAATATGGTTAGTTGATACAGCTTATAAGACTTTATTTAAAATCTTTTTTTTTAGAAATCACTGGCCCCCAATTTGTCCGAAGACTTAGCCGTCAGCTTTTATCTGCAAAGTCAAAAGCTAATTATGGCTGTATATCAACTCATCACTGTGCAGGGGACAATGCGTTTTGACTCATACCAGGCTGAGGCGACCGTGCAATGGCTGAACGACGTAATGCCCGTACTCTGCGCCGGTCTGAAACTCTGCCAACAACTTAAAGACAAGGTGAATTTTTTTTATGTTCTGCAAACGCATGCATTTCCAGTACCAGCCCACTAATAATATAAAAAAACTGATAGACTAGCTTACATCTATAATTATTTGAGGCGTTGGTATCGATATGCATATCAACTAACGAAAAACTTGGAAAAATTCTCTGTTGAGTTGCCGTTATATACATACATAATTCGTATCATACCTTGGTACATACTAACATGATAACTGCGAAGGTCAGAAGTTATTGATGTTGTTGAAGCGGCTTGCTATTGATAATCTTCATTGCTTTAAAATGAAATAACTTGCCACTTACATATCGTCGTTTAAAGTGCAAACCCGCGTATCAAAAAAATGCAAAACTGCGTATGTGAAGTTGTAGAAATCATTTTCTAGAGTGTAAAAACACTCACATTTCAAAATGGTTCTCTTTTTTATAAAGCAATCGCATATCTGGCTAGTATTTCAGGACGAATGGTTTAAGGATTGAGCCAAGAGTTTGTGTGAGCAAATCCAATTTTTGGCAGCCAATGTCAGTTACGCGGTTTTGCAGAATGACGATACGTGGTTTTGTACTTTAAACGACGATATACGTATACATGGGTATTGCTAATTTTTCTGTGTAAATTATTACTTTTTACCTTAATGATTGCCTACCAACATCGAAAAGCATCTGCAAATCAAAGACGACTTCAAATACACATATCCGTCCATTTAATCTCAATAGAAGCATTAACATAGCAAAGTAATGTGGAAATGGAAAGTACTGATTAGACAATTTTTGTTATATTGGAACAGTTTTACATATCAGAATTTAACTGCTTTCGATTGAATAGTTTGAACCATCGTTTTTGTTGCAACCAAATACGAATTCCCTAAAGATATTTTTGGGAATGATGCTGAGCTGAGGGTCCTTGGTCAGATATCAATCTGGATCGTTCCGGTTACGTAGAACCGTAAAACCATCGTCGGTTTCCTCAGTTAGACTATGAAACGTTATATGGAAGAGGGATCAATTAAATTGACAGCTTAAAACTTAAAATTCTTACATTTAAGCGCTCAACACGCATATAGACGAACAACAGTAAATATTGTCAATTTTGTGACTTTTAATCTGATAGATGATAGTGATCAATCTTAAAAACTTTATGGAATTGATCTTATTTATCAATATGTAATCCAGCTTACCAAGTTTCAAATACAGTCCTAAATAGGTTTTCATTTATTTATTTGCCTTCATATTTACAAGAGCTGCGCTTTTATAAGCAATTTTATCGTCTCTGCCACAAACTACCGCATCTTTCTGTTGATTAATTTGCCGGTTAAAAGCTTTTCCATCCAATTACTGTCCATAAACTCAACTTTTTATTAAAAGAGCCCCTGCTAAGTGGTTACCATAGCCTAATTAAATTTATAAGAATCTTTGAATTTTAATTATTTTAACCGTATACTTGTTTTATGTTTTCTTACAGATATCTGTGTTCTCCGTGTACAAGGATTTTACTGTCGAGTCCCGTTCACCTTCTGCTCTTTCGTACTGACGCAGTGACATCAATCCTAAATTAATAAAATGCAGCAGCAGAGCATAAAAAGCATTACAAATCGCACAAATTAAATTTACTCCTCAGTTATTTTTTTAACTCGGTTGCTTCTTAAAATGTTATATTGTTGTTTGTACGAAAGCGTTCAAACGTTTTTATGCATTTATTTGATACAATTATGTACACGAAATAATTAAGAAGGAAACGCGTTCACACTCAAAATCACTTGCACCGTTACTCAGACAATGCCCTAAATATATTCCTATTCCTAGAGTCCATAAAATGGAACCCGTATAAAATGGCATTGTTAGCTTAGTTAAGAAATAATTATGCAATTTAATAGATAAAAAAATACCTTCATATACCTACATACATTCGTATATTAAATGTATGATTTTAGCTATATCTTTAATTTAGCATATTTTTTATTTTAGTTTGATTATTTCGGAATCTACTTATATATTTATACCGTGACAGTACTTACAATTTACTCGCCGTCTAGATTTTTATACAAAAAATATATAAAAACTAGATGTAAAATTACCATTAATGCCTTTTCTGCTTGAAAAGCTCTAAAGAAAAAAAAAAGAAAACGAATAAAGTTGCCTTTGTACTCAGCTTTAACGGTTGAAAATATGTATTACACGCCTGTTTTATTATTTTGTAGTTCTAATGAGAGTAGGTAGTAGAATTTTTGTATTGCAGGCACCCAGATAATTCGTTTAGGGGAGGTTGGAATATAAATTAGAATTCGAAAAATTGACAATCAGCCTCATTGCGTAAGTCATAAGTTTGGCTAAATTGTACGACTCGACAACATTGGCATTTTCTACTGCCGTGCTGAAATAAGTAAACGACTTATTACTATTACTAGTTGTAACAGTGGCTGCAGCGCTACTTGCTACTAAGTTCACAAGATATCGGACCGTAATATTTTTTTGGCAGACTTCCTTGTCCTTAATAACATTTTAGGCTATATTTTTTCTCAGTCTTAACATTTTCACGTGGCGAACTCCATAATTTTACTGGCATACTATTTACTGGCAATCACTTCTTGAATAAATTACAATACAGAAAAATGTCATCTGACTTCCAACTAAGTAAAAAATAACTGTAAAATGCAAAACTGAGAGTGAGTAAAAAACTGTAACATTGGCATTAATTTACATTTTTGCCTGCTGGTTTTATTATTGTTGTTGGATTGACTTCAAATCTTTATGAGAGAGGGAGTAGGGGTGTACCAATAAGAATATACAACAAAAGTATGAAAGCCGTTAGAAGTTGGAAAGATAGCGGTGGCTGAAATAAAAAGTGTTACACCATGTTAGAGTTTTGCTCGTCACTGTAGGCAATCAAAAGCTCCCCAGGATTTCAGTCAAATGACTTTTGAATGGAGCACGACATGTTCGCCTTTTATCGATATACATTTATATGTATGTATTTGTGCATTAAAGCGTTAAAAATTAAAGCAACTTTGGATAGAAATTTATAATATAAAGATAACGGGAACGAAAGGACTTATTTTTTTTCCAACAAAAATCTACATAAATGTGAAAAAATTTACCTTTTCACTAATCCAAATTTTTTCTACCAATTTTGGTAATAACTTACCAAAGTGGCAACCCTGGCAATGACATGAAATTTTCGATACGATTCGACTCGAAAAACGATTTGCATTCGAAACGACTCTCGCAATGAGGCTGAATAACATGTCTTGTATATTGTATTTTTTTAAGTCTTTTTTTACCTTTCGTTAGTTTTGTACCTATTATTAAAAAAACAGTTCAAAGTAAGCAAATGGATGTAAAACGTCCCATTTGTTAAAGCTGAATGTCCTGAATTCGTAAACGTTACGAGCGACCTGAGCTTTTTGAACAAGCTAAACTCTGTAGAAAACGTGCGCTGTGCAATAATTTCTATGGAAACCACAGAAGCGACGACTATGCCACGGTTCTTAACGAATTTTTGAATGGTTACGGTGAAATGGGTTGTAACATGTCCATAAAAATTCATTTGCTTCATTCCTTCAGAATTTAGACTTCTTCCCACATTATCTAGGCCAGTTCAGTGATGAATTAAGAAAAAAAGCGGTCAAGCTAAACATTTTTTAGTTGTATAGCCAGAAATAAAAATTTTGCAAAAATGTTTGCTAAAATTTTATTTCCATAAAAAGTTTAATCACTCAGTAAACTCTTATCCGATTCTTCAAATTAAATACTCGTTTTACTCGTTATTAAATTTGGTTTTACAATACAATTAGGACTATTATGGTTTTTTTTATAAAATAGTGCGCAAAAACCTCACCAAAATGAAAAAAATTAAAAAAGAAAAAAAATGTGTTTGCTTTCTGCTTTTTTATAACGCTGTGTTATTTTTTCTAGTTGTAGCGAAAATTTATATATCTAGTCTAGAACTCCAAATATCACTGGTGCCGTTCTACGAACGTTTTCCAAAATAACGCGTGTCCGCGAAAGGGTTAAACTGTATTTCTTATCGCATGTGGCAATCTGTTAAAAAAAACGTACTGAGAAAACGAAAAACCAAGGTTCAGAGATTGGGAAGGTGCTCGGGAAGACCTAGATAATGGAAGCCGTTCTTTAAGGCTACTGAGCAATCGATCTTTTGAAACTGGCTTTAGAGTTTTTGCCTTCACAGCGAGAATTATTTGACGATTAAATAAGAGACGAAGGCAAATAAGAAAACTGATGCTCAATATAGTGATGAAAATAAGCGTGTGTAAAGAAGATCACGATGACGGATATGTAGAAGACGTTGGGATGAGCGGAAAGGGGAAATTCCAAGTTGAGATTTATTTACCAAGGATAATTATACAAGGTGCTAGCCAACAGCCACATGTATTTTGTACTGCGGGTGTTTTGTCAAATCTCAATTCGTCCTAAAGTTTACATGTCTTTTGTTGTTGTTGTTGTTGTTGTAGCGACTACAAAAACCCCGGATTAATATTTCAGTCGTCGTCAAGTTCCACTAACGGTAGCCGTAAGAAGCGTACATCCTCAATAGGGTCGGTCCACAGGGACAAAGGCGTTAGGCTTGTCGGGTTTTCCGGGAATACGAAGAGCTGTTGGGAGACATGGGGTGTCTCTCCGCATGCCGGACACTCATTTGGTATATCTGCGTTTAGTCTGCTCAGGTATGAGTTTAACCTGTTGCAGTAGCCAGAGCGAAGTTGGGCTATTGTGGTTCTAGTCTCCCGAGGCAGATGAAGCTCCGTCTCGTCAATGTCTGGTGGTTGTGCGCCTAGAACGGCATTCACAGGTCTGTAGTCTACATAACTCGAGACTGACTCCCTGTGAATGCCGTTCAGGGCCTGTCAACAACCAGACGGGTCCAGAGGTTGTTTAGTGAACCTCTGGACTTCGTCCGTCAGTTCNTGGTGGTTGTGCGCCTAGAACGGCATTCACAGGTCTGTAGTCTACATAACTCGAGACTGACTCCCTGTGAATGCCGTTCAGGGCCTGTCAACAACCAGACGGGTCCAGAGGTTGTTTAGTGAACCTCTGGACTTCGTCCGTCAGTTCGTAGAGATGCCTCCTGACGTGCCTGGGCGAGGGCTATTCTGCAAGCCGTTGCCTGTTTGGGTGACCACGTCTATGGCTTCTAACAAGAAACTGCTTGCAGAGCATTGTGTTGTGCTCCTTAATCGGGAGCAATTTCGCCTCGTCGTGCAGGTGGTGTTCTAGCGACATCAGATGGCATCCAGTCGCTGTCCGTAGTGCGGTGTTTTACGTCGTCTGCAGCTTCATCCACTGCGTCCTACTAGTCCCCGGTGACCACACTGGTGCTGCGAAATTTAAAACAGTCCGGCCTACTGCCATGTATGTTGCCAGCAACGTTTCTTTGTCAATGCCCCAAGTACTGCCGGCTAGCGACTTGAGGACCTTCTTGCGGCTCTTTACTTTTGTTGAAAACGGCGGTTGCGTGCGCAGAAAAAGAGGGCAGACTATCGAAGGTTACTCCGAGTATTTTTGGGTTATTCACTATCGGAATTGGTGTATCATCGACGTGAATTCCCAGCGGTAGCCTGAGCTGCTTCGGCCAGATGGTGAAGAAGGTCGCAGAGGATTCTGTAGGGGAGAGGGTTAGGCTCCTTGCAGTGAAGAAGCGAGAAAGCTCTGAGAGATACCCGTTTACTTTCGAATACAAGTCATCAATTCCATTTTCAGTCGCCATGATCAAGCAATCGTCGGCGTAGGAGACAATCGAGACTCCCTCTGGTGGTTGAGGGCGCTTTGAAATGTAAAAGTTAAACAGTAGTGGGGAAAGGACACCACCCTGTAGAACCCCCTGTTTTATTTTTCTTATTTTGCCCGATTTGTCTCTAAACATTACCGACGAGTGTAGACCACTCAGATAATTCGCCGACCACCGTTTGAGCCTCTGTGGGAGAGAGAAAGCCTCTATATCTTCTAGAAGCGTGGAGCGGCTGACGGTGTCAAACGCCTTTGACAGGTCCAACGCTACCAAAATAGTTCTCTCACAGGGACGAATGCGGTTAAGGCTGTTATCTCAGTGTTTATGGCGTTAAGTGCTGTTGTTGTACTGTGCACTTTACGGAAACCATGCTGATGCTTCACTGGGGTCAGGTGGTTCATGAAATACGGGAAGCAGCAAGGCCTCTAGTGTCTTCGCTACCGGGAAAGGAGTGTTATCGGCCGATAAGATTCTCCTTTGTTGGCTTCCCCAGTTTGAGCAGTGGGACCACTCTCCCCACCTTTCAGATGTCAGGGATGATGAGAGTAGCCATCGACATATTGAGGGCCTCCGTTAGGTACGCGACTCCCGCAGGATCCAAATTTTCCAGCATCAAGATGCATATTCCGCCGGGACCTACGGATTTGTAGGCTTTCGCCTTCCCGATGGCTACCTGAACTTCACCGCTACTGAAAGAAAGGTGGTACAAGTTGTTGGTAGTTTGTGTAGCCTTCTGGTCACTCGACGCTTGGCTTTGTCCGCCGGAGGATGCAGTATGACCTGCGGCTAAAAAAGCTCGCGCATCGCTCCAGGTCCGGCGAANGGTACAAGTACAAGTTGTTGGTAGTTTGTGTAGCCTTCTGGTCACTCGACGCTTGGCTTTGTCCGCCGGAGGATGCAGTATGACCTGCGGCTAAAAAAGCTCGCGCATCGCTCCAGGTCCGGCGAAGCATGGTCGCCGAAAGAAATTTCGACCCTGTCATCGTGCTTCATCGGACTGGACAGTGACGTCATGGTTGACCAAATCTTACTCACACCAGAGGTGAAGCTACAAGTATTCATGTGCTCTTCCCACTTTTTCCACTTATGCACGTCCATAAGCTGCCGAATCTCCGTGTCGAGATCCCTGATACAGGGATTTCCGGGATCGGGCTGACGAAGGGTGTCAGGCTCATCGGCGAGAACAGTCGCTTCAGCAGGGAAGTTTGGACGGGGGTCCGTGGTGCATTCTGCCGGTACGAAGCGAGCTGCAGCAGCAGTGCGGAACTTACGTTCACCAAGGTGGACGCCGTTTGGTGTGGGGAACGCAGTGAAGGTGCTCTCAGTAAATTCCGCGAAGCCTTTCAAATCAGCTTTAGAAAAGTTGATATAGGTCCGGTGTTCCGCGGAAGCAAGGTCAGTTGGTTTATCGATCGAGATGACTATGGGCAGAT